TCCCCCAGGGCACAATAACGGGCAACGTGCCACAGTACACACACACACACACACACACACACACACACACACATGAAGTCACCCCTCATATCTAAAAATAAAAGGGTGTGTCTGACCTGTGTGTGTGTGTGTGTGTGTGTGTCTCTCAGCACACAGAGAGGGCATTCTTCTCCGTCTGCCTGGCCTCACCCTGTCTGGACATCCCACAGCAGCATGGCGCGCACACACACACACACACACACACACACACACACACACACACACACACACACACACACACACACTGAACTGAAGCTCTTTGAAACTGACACACAAACAAGCGAGTTTAAGAAGCACACACACACACACAGATCAATCAGTATTGATAACCTGGCTCTGGTAGAGTCGTTTTCTCTTTCTCGAGTTCAGACAGTTTATCTCTGGAGCTGTTTTCTGTCCGCTCAGCTGTTTCTGTGGCAGTTCCTTCAGGACTTTTCATTATTTTAATGGCGTCACGTGTTGCTGAGTGTGTTAAACTGTTCTCCAATACCTAAAGACTGAACCACATCAGGTAACATGCGATTAATAAACCTTTCTTTTTAAGGTATTCTGCCATTTTAGAGGTTGTAAACCAGGTAAAGGATTAAGATGATTACAATCAGAACGATGTTGATTCATCAGTTTAATCCTTTTAAGACTGTGGGAATATTTTAAATTCACTTTTATTGACTCAGAGTTAGCCCAATGGGAGGATGAGGAGGAGAATTACAATGCCAATCTGCAGTATAGACAGTTATGGAATCACTAGATCTTCTCTAATACGGGTCCACGGCCTGATGTGGGTCGAGAACAACAGTTTTAAGCGGTTTATCAAGCAAAAAATCTCAAACATTCTCCGGTTTAAGTGTCTCAAATGTGAGGATTTGCTACTTTTCTGTGTTTTATATCAGAATCTGGTTCATTGTTTTCACATACAAGTAATTTACCTTGTTACTCTGGTGCATAACTAATACACATAGTAAGAGAAAAGAAAGAAAGACAGCAAAAGTGAAGAATCGTAAACATAAAATTGACTAAATTACGATGAAAAATATAAATAAAAATAAGTAAATAAATAGAAAAATATAGAAATATATGGTTTTAATGGTAATAAGATGTGTGTTGCAGCTCTTTCCACAAGGAACAATCAGTCAGTCAAACAATATTAATATAAAATAATCCGGAGGGATGACGTCGTCGTAAGCGAGCTGTAAACGCTGTAAGTGGAAAAGATATGATGTCAACCTGCAACAGCTTCCAACTCCTCCTGTGTGAAGAAATGGGCTTCGGTTAATGACATCATCACACACACACACACACACACACACACACACACACACACACACACACTCACACACAGAAAACATACATCTGCCTGCTCTGCACATAATAAACTCTCTTATTACCGCACTCTCATTATACCCCCGCATACCTGCTAGCTGGGGTTAAGTATATAAAACCCTCTCTTCCTCCTCCTCATCACCTTCCCTTCCTCCCTTTTCTCTCTTCATCCTCCTCTTCTTACGCTCTCATCCCTTCATTTTTCTTTCTTTCCCGCCTCCCTTCATCCTCCCGTGCTTCCCTTCCCTCCTCATACTTTCCGTCTGATCCTCCTCACCTTCCCCGCCGTCCCCGTCCTCTCTTCATCCTCACCTCCCCGTTCCTCTAAAGGCTACTCCCACCCCCTCCTCCCCTCGTCTTCATCACCTTCTAATCCTGCCTTTCTTTTTTCCGTTCCTCGCCTCTTCCTTCCCCCCGTTATCCATGGGAAAATGACAGATTACTCTTTGAGCTTAACGGTACACTGATACTTTTAGCAGAGCCAAGCATTGAACTGTGTGTCTGTGTGTGTGTGTGTGTGTGTGTGTGTGTGTGTGTGTGTGTGTGTGTGTGTGTGTGTGTGTGTGTGTGTGTGTGTGTGTTTTTAGTCCTTTTTGTTTATTTCTGTGGGGTCTTGCATGTATTACATTGCTGGATAATGAGAGGTCATTTTATTGCTGTGTATTTGAGTTTCTTAACCATCCATGTTTTTGGGAGCTCTCTCTCTCTCTGTGTGTGTGTGTGTGTGTGTGTGTGTGTGTGTGTGTGTGTGTGTGTGTGTGTGTGTGTGTGTGTGTGTGTGTGAGAAAGGTGATCCTCATTGTAAGCAGTGTTAAACATTCCTTCACTGAAGCAAATTCTGCCTCCAGTTTGTTTTCATAATGAAAAACTCATTAGACACAAATGAACATAAACACTGTGTCAGATGCATTCGACTCATGCTGGAGGCTCCTTTGTGTGTGTGTGTGTGTGTGTGTGTGTGTGTGTGTGTGTCACAGAGCATAATCAACAGTCCTCTCCGTTCAGTGTGATGTCCAGGACCCCTAATCCCCCCCCGTGAAGAGATTCTCTGTTTAGCTTTCATTTATGTGAGAGTCAGAGGTTGCGGTCAGCTGCAGAACAGCAGCTCTGTAGCGTCATGCTCAACGACCCTCCAGCTGGACGAGGACGGGGTAAAAACCTGGATGTGCGAGATCCACTCAGGCAACATGTTGTCTTTTATACCAGAGTCACACACACACACTGACTGACTGGGGTCGGGTAAAACTTCATAACAACACACGTCAAACAAATATTTGCTATAAACTGAATGGAAACGCTGAAAAAAGCCTCAAATTATTGCAAAAAAGTCAATATTAGCAGACGGCCGACATAAAACGCAGATAACGAAACAAAGACAAGCCAGTTATGATTCTGTTTTGTTCTGTAGGAAAGTCTGTTTACAGACTGTTTAAAGAAGGAGCGCTAACATCGTTTCAGGGCAGTTAAAAAGCGTGAACACAGTCAATTGATCCGATTAATCGGGTCAATTATCTGGCCTTTTGAGATAATCGTGTGTAACAGTGCATATATAACTGTAGTGGATGTAAACACACATTAATACGTATTTTTTCCTGAGAATTTGGTTAAATTTGTGCAACTGCTGAAGTAAATGAGAGAGAACTCTTTGCTCATTTTGATATATTAAGGGAAACTGCAGCATTTTAATCATATTTTAGTTCAATATTGACCATTTTCTGGTATTTTATTGCCAGTAGGTTTGTGCTGACTACATAATATTGCACCTTGTGTGTTATTTTTGTATAACTGAACACTGGATTGTGCATTATAAAGTGTTTAAGGTGTAGACAGAATTCCCTCCCCCCCCTTTTCTTTGCCTTCATCATGAGCCCGTATGGAAACTAAACTGAGAGGAAAAAGGACAAATAAATCTTTTCTTAATCTCTGACAGCAGTGTCAGTTCATCAGCCAGGTCTTGAACTGGATCCCAATCCACCTAAACTGGTTTTTACTGGTTTTCCTTTCACAGAAACAGACCTTGACATCAGACGACATCAAAACCAAAAGTTGTGATAAAGCTGCCCAGTTCAAACGTGGTTGGTTTTTACATGTTTGGAGTGATATTACAGCGGGATTCAAATATTAACCTCTGAAGGCAGAAGTCGTGGCAACATTAGGCCCCAGAGAACAAGGCAGAAAGCGAGTTAGTATATGAAAGATCTCGATTTATGTTTGAGTTGGCTCACGAGGAAAAAGTTCCAACGCTGCAAGTCTGTAAAATCCTAAAACCGTGAAATCAGACGTGTGTTTCCATGACATGCATTCCTTTTGATTTCTGCAGCAAGCGAGTGAATGAATGAATGAATGAATGAATGACGGAGGGAGGGACGAGTTTGCTCTCCCATTTTTCGCACTTTTTATTTGCCCCTGAAGCATCTTTAAACAGCATTTATACTGGGTGAATGGCGGAAATCGACTGGGTTTGATAGCTGAAAGGGAAATTCTAATCTGCCTAGCAACTAGAGAGAAATATTAGTCGTGACTTTGCTATTTCTTGAGTCTAAAATTGGGAAAATACTTCTGGAATCTTCTCCTAAAGATATCAGTCATCCATAAAACTTTATACTACATTACAAAATCAGAGTATTTAGTCTGATCTCCTCCCCTTCCGGCTATCTGTGTGTTACTGCCTTCCACCAAAGTTCCTACAGGACACTATTGTGCTGGGACACCGTCGCTACTAAAATACAGAAAAAATACTAAATATAATAGTAAAATATTAAAAGAAAAAGACTCATTATAGTGCATTAAGTTGAATATTTGGAGTATTCGGACTGGGTATATCCAGTTTTCTGCCTCATGTACATCACAGTTAATCTGCTAAATCTGTCTCCATTGTACTTTTAAATACACATTTATAATAAAATACCAACTTTTCCACCTCCGCCAAGCATAAAACACTTGTTCCCCCCCCCCTATTTTGACTTTTTATGTTAAATTTCCAGTGTTTTTTGATGCTCAAATTGAACATATGCATTAAAAACAGGTGGAAATGCCCTTAATGTGTCTCTAATACACATTTACTGTTATATTTGCTGCTCCAGACACTGAGAACTCAAATATATACCAGTTTATACACTGAGATTGTTGTTTCTGTAACTTCGTTGTGTGTGTGTGTTCCTGTCGTCCTCTCTTTCTTTCATCCCGTCTTTACTGCTGATGTGATTTATGTGCTGAACTCAAACCTCACACCGCACTGCGCCGCACACTCGTCAAACGTTTCACCCCTCTCTGCGACGCCGCTCCGAAACATCCCAGCGACGCATTAACAACACCGGGCCTTCACCACTGTGTGACCCGCCGTCAGCACTGTGGCAAACACACACAGTCTATTACAGAGGAATGTGATGGGTTTCAGTGGGTTGTGTGTTTCAGGCTTGTTTTTTTGGAGATGCTCTTCGAGGGGCGCCGTTGCCATGGGGACGGAGACAGTTTGACAAAAAATGTCTCCCAAAAAAAAAAAAAAAAAAAGGGTTTTAAATGAGTCGACTTGGCGCTTTCGTTACTTAATCTGAATGCGCTTCTTGTTCGCCTTCCAGCTTTCGTCTTTTCTTTTCTTTTTTTTTTTTTTATCTCAAGCAATTTGTGTCTTGTGTCTCCAGATCGAGGACGGAGGGAAGGCCGCCGTGTGCGAGAAGCTGAAGGTCGGCGACGAGCTCATTAACATAAACGGGTCCGCCCTCTACGGCAGCAGACAGGAAGCCCTCATCCTCATCAAGGGGTCGTACAGGATACTGAAGCTCACCGTCCGGAGGTAAACAAGCTTCCACTCCTCACACTCGCACGCTTCGCCGTTCGCCATTGAGATTATCTGCACGCACACGTGTTTATCTCAGAAATAGTTTCATGACTTCAAAGTGAATAACTGAGTGTTTGTCTACCAGAAACGGTAAAAGGATGTGTGTTTGTCGCTCTGTCGTTTTTTTTTGTTCTGACCGACACGTAAGTTGTCTCGGCGTGACGAGGAAGACGAGGAGGATGAGGAGGAGGAGGAGGTGATTGTGCATTTTCCCGGTCCAGGAATCTGCGAGCACGACATCAAGGCAGCGTTTCGCAGATAGAGAATGTCTCACAGGAAGTAACCTTTGACCTCTGAGGTGTCAAAAGGAAAGCTGATAGACTCACATGAGCCAGGGGAGGAGCTGAATGATCGGGAGTGTTTAAATAATGATTTGGGATAGACTTTGAATCTCACAGGAAACAAGAACTTCAACAAGATTATAGATTATAAGATTAGAGAGACAAGCTGAGCTAAAGGTAGCAGCAGAAACACTGACTCCATTCAACCTGACTCTCACAACAAACGTATAACGTAAACCCTCTTTTGCTCTTAAGTTAATTAGCTTTCTGGATTAGCGACTGTAGGTAACTGCACTGGGCTCTTATTTTACTCACTAACAGGAGGAGAACTTGTTTCTGTTTCCCACTGCACTCCTCCCAGGCTGGCGTTGGTATTTTGGCTCGGGAAGCAGAACTAATGGCAGGAATATTTCCACTCTGTGAACTAAAGTCAAGTTGGCGTCTTAAAAGGGGGGGGGGGGATTTAGAGGTTGCTGGGTCTGCTGATCCGAGGTCAGATGTAACAGCAGATCAGCTCGTGTTCAGATTATATGTTGATCTCTATTAAATATGTTCAGTTTAGCACTTTTTTACCACCCAGGTTTTGTTGAATTTTCTTTAATTTCTCCTTTTATTTATTGTCAGTAGATTATATATACGTTTATACACGCGCATGGGTTTTGTTATTCTGCTTTTACCCTTGATTATGGTCCAAAAAGTGGCCTTGATTCCAGGTTTGTAACTCTTCCTGTTATCAGAAGATGTTTAAAAAATGATATTTCTATGTATAATCAATTTACTGTAGACCCCTTTTTACCAGGGGTTGTTGCCACTTAGTGGATGTAGGTAGAAATGCAGCTTTAAGAAACTTTTTTGTTATTTTTCCTCAACTTTTCTTGTCGTTTCTTTCCCTAATTCTCAACTCGGAGGATTTAAACTGGTGTTCGAACTATTACTTTGTCTTCCCCGGACAGCTTCGGACAGCTGTCTGGCAGCAGCCCGCCTCGTTCTGGCTTTGAAATCGGATCAGCCGTCCAGCAGCCGGAGAGTTGCTGGGTTGTTCTGCTCCTGTTTCTGCAGCGGGGGCAGACCCCTGTCTAATGCTGTTAGACACACACACACATACAAGCCAGCGTCTTGCCCACACACATCCCAGTGTAAACGCACGTTCACACAGACAGACGGACGGACATAGATGGCTTTAGGAATGCTGTTGGTTATGAGAAAGCCACCCAGTTAAATCCACCTTGTGTGTGTCAGTGTCTGGTATGTACTGCATGTCTGAGTCTGAGGGGTTTTCCCAATGCAGTGTGTGTGTGTGTGTGTGTGTGTGTGTGTGTGTGTGTGTGTGTGTGTGTGTGTGTGTGTGTGTGCCATATGTGCTCCACATGTTAACAGTAACATTTGTTCCCCTCTGGTTATTCATTAGTTTGCACATTTAAAAACAACAAAACAACAAAATTATTGTAGGAAGTATAATTTATGTGTCTGAAGTTAACAGCAAATCAACAGGAATTTACTTTTTATGTAATTTAATTTAGATTATTATTATTATTTAGTTATTTTTTATTTTAATACATACAACATACAACACAGGACACACCATACTATCTGGTGCACACAAATTTTATTAACTTTTTTAGCTATATCCTTTTTCCAGGTGTTAGATAGTGATGATTAATTATTATAGTGGTGTACATATTGCTCATCAGTCGTTATTTGTTTAATTAGATCATTTACAAATATGTTTTTATTAAATAGTTTTTTGTTAACGTAAGGACAATTATCTGTCCGCACATCACTATTAAACCATAATACTGTAATAATATAATATAATTAAATAATGTATAGATTTTATTGTTTGGTTAATCGATCGTTCTGTCTATAAAATGTCAGAAAATAGTAAAAAATGCCTTTTTTAAGTTCTCCGAACTCAATCTGACGCAGTTTTAAACCCCTAAATATTCACTTTCATATCATCGAGACCAAGAAAACTAGCAAATATTTACATTTGAAAGCAGCTATAGTTAAACTTAAAAAAGATTTATTAAATGGATTACCATAAAACTGACAATAAAAGCAGGGTCCCAAATGGTGTGGCTATTTTGACAAATAAAGGCAGGTCTCCAATAGAGGCCTGGTCTGGATTTTAGAGAAATTATCTCGATGTATAAAACCTCGTAAAACCCACTTGAGTGAGTTTAGATCGCCTACACAAATATAAATGTTTAAACTTTTGTCACATATGAACATAATGAACAATTCAATCGTTCATTTTAAGGAAACCATGAACACCGAAAGTGTAAGTTTTACGGTAGTTCAGTGGTTGCCGATTGATCAACTAAGCTTTTCAGCCCCTAAAAAGACTCAACATCAACCCTTTTTAGCCTGATATCAGCACCTTTTAAAACTTTTCTTGGTGGATTTTCAAAGATTTATGAGACCTTACATGAAAACACCTGCAAGAATAAGAGCTTGTAAAGACAACATTCAACATTATAATTACCTTTAATCTGTGCAGCCTTATGTGAACGAATATGTGTGTTTATATGTGTGTGTGCTGCTCTCTCAGTGCCCGTACAGAGCTGCTATTTTTACTTTGGCAGCAGCGCTTTAACCACGGCCACCCGCACGTGTATTAAACTCACTTTGATTGACAAGTCACTGACACTAATTGCCGTTCTCGGCTCGAGCGCTGGGCGGGGACCCTGTTGCACTTTGACCTCGACTCTCTGCCAATCACGTCACAGCTTTCACCAGCCTGGTTTTAGTCATTACTGTAGGAACAAGTAACTCTCTGGAAGGTACTGTAGGAGTCTGCTGCCAGACTCGGGGGATGATGAAATACTCACATTTGCACACTTGGCTCTTCTTGTAGAGTTTTAACAGTGGAAAAGGGCCCTTAGTCAAAAGCCAAAAGTTGTTACCACCTCTTTTAACAACACAAGGGCACTGTTGGTACGGAGATGGTATGTGAATGGATGGACGTCTCTTGTTTCTCTTTCAGTCATTATTAGGAATATAAAAACCTGGTGTGTGTGTGTGATAGAAATAACCTTTTAATGGCGTGAACCTCAGCATGTGAGCAGGATTTTAGTCAAAGAATGAATAAGAAAAGAATAAACCGTCATAAGAACATTAACCCAACACAAAGTGCCTCTTTTGTTGCTTTTGAGCCAGTAAAAACTAATTTAATGGTCATATTGACATTTAAAGGTCCAGTATGTAACATTTAGGAGGATAAATTGGCACAAATATTAGTATATAATCACCTTAAAATAAGAGTAATTGAGGTTTTGTTACCTTAAAATTAGACGTTTTTTAGCCAAAAAGGGAGCGGGTCATGTTGAACCGCCATGTTTCTACAGTAGCCCAGAACAGACAAACCAAACACTGATTCTATATAGGGCGTTTTCCCACATTTTTCACAACTTTCACGACCACCATAGTTTCTTCTACATTCTTGGAAGGCTGGTTGCAATCTGCAACTTCACCACTAGATGCCACTGAATCCTTCACACTGGTCCTTTGGGTGTGTTGGTTGATTCACGACGTCTCATCTCATGCACTGAGTCACATTTTTCTGATTTTTTTCTAGTCAGCGTCAAACACACGAGGCTTCAAAACATTACAGTGTTCTTGAGTGAACTCTTTGTAACCTCATAATTGACCACAGTTGAGCTTTTGGCCACTTGGGGGCGACAGAACAAACTCTATAAATAAAAGTGACGTACAGTATTATGGCCTCATAAAGCTGAAGGTGATAATAGTCTGACAATGACCATGAAAACAGCTCCCCCTTGTGGACAATCTATAGCCTTTTTAACACGATTCAGTGAGTTTTTTTTTTAAGTGTTATAATTTAGTTTGCACTCTCTAATCTCTATTGCTGAGCTTCAGTTTAACAAGAAAGAGAAATACTGCAGTCCTTTGTCTCCGTCCTCAAGCTAATTACAGTACATATTAAACATTTGTACAACTTAAACTAAAGTCTCTTTATGCGTTTTGTCCCCTTCTTTCTCCACCGCGACTACCCGCTCTTCCAAGACGGCTGCCTGCCAACCAGTTTTCACCGTTCCTGCCAACCCGTAGGGACACTACCTTGTATGTTTTTATACGGCCGCGCATGCATGTCTACATGTATTTTAGTAAGTGTGAGAAATTTGCGTTTGTGCCCGTTTTCTGTTATTCTAAGCTCAATTAAAACTCACTTAACCTAAACTGAGGTGGAGAGTAGCCAATGCGCTTGTCTAGGAAACATCAGGAAATTACTCACCGGGGTTCCCCCCATGTACAGTATTTTACTGTAGGAGCTTTTGTGAGTACGTTGAGGAGCAGGCGAGGAAAATGTACACACTGGATTTAATTATATGATGTAAATGCAGAGGAAGGAAATGTGCAGTTGGCGAGGAGAGATGATGATTTGTCCGACTTCAGCGAAGAGTTGGAAAATGGTGCTTTTGTGCAGCTTTTCTATTGAAGTCTGGTCGGGAAGCTTTGAAATGGAGGCTTGTATCGATATATAAACGGGTGTATTGTATCTGACAGGTTTACATTACATTACAAGAAGTTATGTAACGCCGGAAATGAAAAACATTTGATTCTCATGTGTTGTTTTTAACTCCTAAAATGATGCTTAAAACTTGTAATTAATTCTCTAAATCTAACATTTTGTGGCATCTGGTAATTGTTTCT